AGGGAATGGAGAAGCTTCACCCACTTTAGAAATGAGAAGATGCTGGGCCTGCAGGAAAGGTGTTTACAACCACCTCAGCCACGCACCACCCACCCTCGGGCTTTTATATATTCTGTTATACCAAATCTGCTTGGCTTTGCAGCACAAAGCTCCGATACCAGCGTCCCCTCCATCGTGAGCCTTCTGCTTTTTCCTCCACCCCGTATCCCCCTCTGAGCCTCGGGCACAGAGGCCGATGTTACCCAGGGTCCATGTCCCAGTAATCCATCCCAAATAAGAGAGATGAAAGCGATAAAAACAAGCCACCTAAACTGCTGCCAGAGGGTTTAAACTGCAGGATCGCTTTGATGGGATTTCCACTTCTGTCTTCAGAGCCTCACTGTCCTCCTACAATGTAAAATGATTCTCGCTCCATGGAAACACAAGCCTAAGTCATAGAAAAATGGAGTAAAGAGAGAAATACTCAAGGTCTTGTTATGCCCTGAGATAACCATCCGTCTCATGATGTGAGGAAAGATTGACTGAGACAAAGAATCATTTAGGGGAGGAAAAAAAAAAAAAGAAAAAAAAAGAAAGGCTGAAATGCCACATTAGTCTTGAAGAAAAAAAGATTATTCTAATACATGGAGAGCCATTACACACCAGCAATTCAGGGAGATTGCTCAGTTTGCACTTAAGACCGCATTTACCATGCGGTCTTCACTGTGAAAGCACATCTTTAAACCCACCAAAACAAACACTCTGCAAACCAACATCTAGGACCCTGACTCCAACACAGAAGTATGTAACGACAGGGGAACCGATACCCCAGATAACGACTTAGTTACAGGGGCTCCTACCCCAGAATTCAGCCTCAAAGATGTAGCTAATGCAATCTCATTATTCATTATGGATGGATGACATTTTTGCAACCGAAACATTTTTTATTCAAAACAGCTTTTCATTGCAAATTAAGGTTTTGTAAAGATACAATTAATAAAAACATAACTAGAAACTTAAAAAAAAAATACAACCTGCAAGTGAAAAATGTAACCTCTCAGGTTTTTTTCCACTCTGATTTTCCATTTCTGCTTTAGCATCCTTTCTGCATTCCCAGCCGTCGTGGCCAGGGCCACTGTAAGCTTGTTCTCCCTACCTGAAACATGCCCTCAAAATCTGGGAGGAGTTTTTGAAAGCTCTGCTTTTCCACAAGAGATTTTTTTCTGCCAGACACACACACCAGTCCTGGGGAAGACACAGATCTGACCTTCCTGAGCATCACACTCAATACCACGTTCCACCCAGCTGCAAGCGTACATATCCTGTGGACAAACCAGGGGAACGCAGGCCTCGAACATAGCAGCCTTGCTTGCAGGACTTGGCCACTTAAATAATCCTCAGTCACAATTAAGTGGCAAATTCTGGCCCAGACCCAGGCAATCAGCAGGTTTTGCCTGATCTCCCCAAGGACATGTGATGACCCTGCAGGGGATGAAGTTACTTACACAGCCTAGGAGGAAAAGCACTGCCTCCCCTGATGTTCCCTGTCCATCCCGAGCTTTGATTTTTTGCATGGTCACAGCCTAGCCACAACGATGCCAAGCTTTCTTTTTTTTTTTTTTTCTTCCCTCTTTTGCATCAGGAACCCAGGCTTTTGTTACACGACTATGTAATACCTGGGACGAGCTGTTACTTCAGGGCTATGGCTACTGAGCCTCACTCAAATGCCAAAATAGCAAGGAAGAAAAAAAACAAAACCCAAAACCTTTCACTGACTGGCTGATTTCTAAAACAAATATTTGAAGAGCAAAGGGAAACCCAGCTGGCTTCCAAATACACAAATTAAAGTGACTAACAGAGAATTTTTCCCTGTTACATTTCTGACCCAACCTATTCTTTGTTATCAGCATCCCTGAGCTAAATGGCTACCTCTTATCATAGATCCTGTATTAACTGGGGATTTCAGGGAAAGAAACACACCCACCTGAGAAGCAGCAATAATAAATCAGAGATCTTGACCTTTTGCTTCCCCCCCAGCTGTACCAGTTCAGCACTATGACGATACACACATGTGGGAAAGCACAAGCACACCTTGCTTTCCTCCTGTTCATTCCCCCGCCCTCCCTCTTCTTTCATTCTCACTTTATTTTCTCTGCTTTGGTACTTTTCCAGTGTCTAGCTGTCCACCCAGTTCCAGCTCCCACCTTTATCTTTCTGTGCATCCCACTTCTCAGCAAAGAACATACTTGCACCCCATTCCAAAGGCTCTCTGGACACCTGTCCCGCATTATCTCATACCCAGAAAGACCTGGCCTGCCACACCTGCCTAGGATGAATAACAGAATTCAGCCTGAATTTTTTATATATTATCTACAGACACAAGTTAAATAACTTATGCTAAGTAGTCCAGGGCATCTCAAGTTTATTGTCACTCCCAGGCAGATGAGCACATTACAGCAACCACGAGCAGCTCTCGTTTGCTCAAGAAACTGAAGTACAGCGATTACTAAAAAAATTGGGTTGACAAACTGAGATCCAGTCCCAGGGAAGTAATGCCGTGACAGTTCAGAAGAGAGGCTGAATGGTATTAATATAGCACATCTTGTGTTACAAAAGACACTGGCCCGAATTCTCCCCTCCGACTTTCAGATTCACCAAGACATCTCTGCATGCAAACGTCACCAAAAGCAAAATACGGTTTTGTTGTTTTACAAGCCCATTTGGAGCTTTTAACAACAACCCTCTTTCCCTGATGAGCTATTTTACTGACCTACAGCTTCATCCCCACCCTGCTGATGCCGAGAAACGTCCCATTTTGCAGAAGGGCTTTATATTACACACAGGGCAAGGGAGAATTACGCCATTGATCTGAATGGCCCAGGCTTGTAAAGTCCTCTCTGGGAAGGAATAATTTAGGCAGACACCCATTCGGTGAGCCCAAGCTGCGCTCAGCAAGATACCTCAAAGGTGGGTTGGTACAGTTAGACAGCAACACCAGCCAGCGGATGGGTGGGAGCAGGCAGAGCAGCGCAGCGCTGCAAAGCAGTTCACACTATGCAGAAAGTTCTTTGTCCTTTCCAGCTGGGTACCGGGGGACACAACGCATCTGAAAGTGAACTGCAGTGTCCCAAGATGTAGATTAGGGACATAAAACCATTGGTACTGGTGTGAGCTGGGTGGTGGTGTCCAATAGATCTTGAAATCCAAAATAAATCAATAGCCAGAAAAATAAGGTTCAGCTGAAGCATTGGGTTCTCTTTAACCTATAGAATGAGGGGCTGAAAAAGACATCCTTTCTCTGCACATCTTCAGAGCCATCCTGCCCAAGCTAATGTAAATAAAGGTGTTTCCACATGGTGTACATGGTGATATTTTTTTTTTTTTAAACGGAAAGTTACTCGGTATGCAGTTCTCTAAGATTCTTTCTTCTCAACGGCAGGTCCCACCACACCACGCAGACTCCGCTCAGCGAGAGCAAAGCCTTTCCCACGCTCACACCCTGACACCAACAATTCACACCCAAAGGGCGAGGAAGATGCCCCTAGCTCAGATTTTTCTCCCTTCAGCTCTACGGACATTCGCAGCCCGGTCCTCGGCACGGCTAAGGCACCCACCCACGATCAAAGGTCGGTGGGCAGGATGCCCACGGCAGCGCTTCTGGTTCCCCCCCCACCTATTTGCTCACCGATAGGGCAACGACAAAAGCCAGGGGAGGACAAGCTCCCACCCTTGGGGGGGACACACAGAGCCCCCCAACCTCCAGCTCGCTACCGGGTTAAAGCCACCCGGGCTGCACTGCAGACCGCGGGGACCTGCCGGGGAATGACATCAGCGCTGCCACGGCCTGGCCCGGGAGAGATGGAGGGGGGGGGGTGGTGATGATACCTCCACCGGGGCTGCTCCCCGGGTACCACCACCCGCAGCGCATCCCCAGCCCTCCACCCTGCCCCGCAGCATCCCTACCTGCATCCCCCCCCTCCCCGGGGCGGGGGTAAAGCAACCCCTCGGCGTACCCCGTTACCATGCCGGGAGAGGACAGACAACCCCCCCAGGACCCACCACCACC